TTTCTTCATCTACTCCAGCCTGAATGCAAGCATAAACGAAACAATTGTCTTCTGTCATAAGTGCTGCAGTTCTTTTGTTCAGTTCATTGAAGATTTGGTAGCGTTCAAGATTTATAGGTAATGTGCAAAGATACTTCCAGAACTGACCGCTTCTCTTCTTATAAAACTTCTTTTCACCATTATCTTTCCAAAAGCTTTCTATAAGTGCTGGGTTTCCTGTTTGCTTAAGAGCTTCCAAAATGGCTTTCTGGTCATTTGTCAGTGTGCTTTCATCTCTATATGGTCTCTTTTTTGGTTTGCCTTTCTTTACATCTGACATCGTTAAGCCTTCATATTCTGTTAAATCATACATCTTTATTTCGGTAAGATTCTTTATGTTTGTCAAGAAGAAGTCATAGTGCATTTCAACAATACCTGCAGCATTTGCTTCTATCTCTGATATAAAGTTCTCCTTCAAGAGCTGATGTAGTAGTGTTCCAATATTATTGAGGTTTAACGTAGAACATTCATACTTTCCACCAAGTTTATGACATACCATCCATCTTTGTTGTGAGTTTATTTTAATTTTCTCTAAGAGTCTCATGAAAACCTTACCGAAATGTTTGTGTAAGTAGTCTCTGTTTGGTTCATCTAAAGCTTCGATGTTAAAGTCAATGAGTCTATTGCCTGACTTCACATTTCTCTTCCTATTCTCTTCATCTTTCTTTAACCATCTCTCACCTTCTTTTGGTTTGTCGTCAATGGAACGAATGACATCGTTAGCTTTGCGAACTTGTTCTATAGCGCTCTTAAACATCTCTCTTCTCTGTTGTTTCAGTGTGTCGTCTCTTCTTCTTGTTTCACCAACGTTTGCATTTGTTATGTCAAACATCTCTTGACGAACATCATGTGAAAGAGCTTTACGAGTATGACCAACGTTTGCATTTGTTATGTCAAACATCTCTTGACGAACATCATGAAAGAGCTTTACGAGTATGACCAACGTTTGCATTTGTTATGTCAAACATCTCTTGACGAACATCATGTGAAAGAGCTTTACGAGTATGACCAACGTTCGCATTTGTTATGTCAAACATCTCTTGACGAACATCATGAGGTATTGAACGTCTATGATATAAGTCAATAGCAACGTCATTTAAAGGAAAAGTTTTGTTATTAATGAACTCATGAATTCTATCATAACTTATTGCACCATTATAGTCTTTAATGAAGTCAGTGAGTGCTTTTTTGTTTGTTGCGTAATGCTTTGCAACATCTATATTAGCTTCTGTAAGAAGTTGTTTTATTTCCGAGTGTTCTAACTTAGACAACTTCCGATACATCTTTAGTAGGAAATAAAAAAAATATTTTTGAAAAAATTAGATTAGATTTTTTTAAGTTATTTTTCAAAATAATTTAATATTTTTATTTTAATGAAACACATGCAAGATTGCAAGTTCTTTTCATACAATGCTCTCGCTAATGCCATCAAGAATGAGTTCAATAATGCTTCAAAGTTAATGTTATCTTTAACAAGAAGTTTGTGAAAGAATCTAAGTTTGGTCAGTATGTCAGACCATTAGCTATCGTCATTGACCGCAAACGTTATACTTCACAAGAGTTAGCAGTAGTTTTGAAACAAAAGAGTTTCTTCGTGAATGTCAAAGATACTCATTATACTGTCATAAAGAACTCTAACATTGACTTCTTCAGTATTGCTATGAATCTTTCCGAACAGAAAGAATATAAGAAGGGTGAAACAAATGTGAAATATTATCCTTCATCTCTGAAGACAATAACGAACAAAGATGTTATACAGAAATTCTTACCAAAGGTTGAAGAAGCTTCAATTGACATTGACGAAGGAAGTGAAATGGTTGAAGAAATTGACCCTGAAGCTATTTAAGCAAAAATATATTTTTGGTTAGTCTTCATATGGATATTTTACAACAATTCCCCAATGTATAAACTTTTCATACGCTTTTTCATAAGCTTTATATACCTTCAGAAATTTTGCATAATCTTTAGAAGCATTTAGATATTGTTTAAATGCTTTGTATGTCTTCATAAATTTTGCATAATCTTTTACATGCTGTTCGTTCTCCTCTTCTGTCATGAGTTCCGAATATTCTAAATTCATGTTCTTTCATATGAGATAAAATTTTATAAAAAAAATAAAATTAGCTTAGATTTTCATTCTTCCTCTTTGAAGTTATCGAAATACTCTGTTATTTTTTCCTTTAACAATGGTAAGTCTTCTTTGAATGTAAGTATTGTACAACCTTTGATGTTATAGTGTGTTTGAGGAAGAGTATTTTTGACAATTTCCTTTATTTGCTCATTCGGTGTCATTGAAATCGGTAAGTTTTCACGATAGAACCAGTTTCTGTCAGATTTGTAAATCTTAGCAAGGTCATAAAAGCTTTTGTTGTTTCTTCTGACTAAATGCAACATAACCATATCTCTGTCTTCTTCATTTTCCATCTCTTCAGTATAAATCATATACTTATAGTTCTTTTCCTTTCCTTTTGGTACTGAACGCGGTATTCTTTTCTGTATGCTTTTGTCTTTGGATTCAATGACTTCATCTTTTGCTTGAAGTTTCTTTTCCATCTGTTCGCGTTCTTGTCTGTGAATTTCGTCAAGAAGTTTACAGACATACCAAGCATAACGAGGCGAAGCCCACATTGCAACAGCATTTACAAGAAGTCTATGTACATAATATCCTCTTAAATTTATTGGCAAATTTTTACGATTTTCATGTGTTTTATGCATGGCCGATAAAAGTCGGTCTAGAGAAATTTCACTGTTTTCATGAGTTTTAGGCGACCCTGAAGGAAGTCGGTCTCGCTGTTCTTCACTGTTTTCAGAAAAAAGTCGGTCTCGCTGTGCTTCACTCAAAAGTTCTTGTGTGCTTTGGTTTTTGAACCAATCGTCTGCGTGTTTAGTGTCTGGAGCAAAACATGCAGTCAAAATACTTTGCATTTGGTACATATCGTCTTTGACCGAACGAATGAGACGGAGTTGTTTGTTATACTGTATGTACTCATATTCTTCATTTATGGCTTCATGAACGATAGCAATTGTTGTGTTCTCTGATGTTGTCATTACTGTCTTTACATACAAAATAAAAAAATAAATAAAAATAAAATTAGCGTTATTTTTTCTGAGATAAACACTATTTCTTCACAACATTAAATTTTATCCTGTATGAAATGACTTTAAAAAGATTATTGACTGACTTCGAATACTATCTCATTGACGCACTGACAGACCCTCAAAACTGTGTTGAAAGTTCTTTAAGCTTTAAGATTGAAGGTACGACGCATTTTGTCTTCACTTACGTATTGAAAGAATATGACCGTTATCATAACGAAGTGAATCAAACACTAATAAAATTTGTAGATAAAAAATTGGTTAACAATGAATATTTTAAACGTGAAGACCCAAACACTGCTGGAGATGATGAAGAATACAGACAAGCTATTGAAAAAAATAACGCAAGATTAGATGCAATAGAAAAGAATTTTAATGAATGTCTTACAAACACGTATGAATATCTTATGCGGTGGGAAGCTAGATGGAAATAAATTTACGTCAAATATGCAATTTATAAAATCTTATGTCGACAGGCTACGTAGCACAGTGGTCTAAGGTGGTGTTATGGAGGGGTCAGAGTCTGTGGTTCGAACCGCGACAGCGCCGTATTTTCTTATTTTCTTTGTTTGTCTTGTTTGTCGTGAATAAAAAGTGTCATAAAAGTGCTCTATCTTCCACGGGAATAAATAAAAAATTTACTTTATTTCTTCTTTATTTCTTTGTTCCCGTGGAAGAAGGGTTTTGCTGTTTTTTCTCAGCCGAAATCAATGATTTTTTCATTTTTGGAATCCTTAGCGAATGAGGAATCTTTTCTCTCGTGGAAGCTTTGAACAAAAATATAATTTAGGTGAAGAGGTGAGATCTCACCTGTTTTTTCACCTCTTTTTTCACCCCTTGAACTTTTTATAACATTCGGTCATAACTTCATCAATTTCATTTAAATCACGATTTAAAAACTCATTGACTTCATCTTCAACCGTGTCATCTTGTAATAAGAATATTTTCTTTAGTTTCATGTCAACATCCCGAACAGCACAAAGGATAAAATCATATTCATTTCTTCCGTTAAACATACTTTTTCTTTCTCGTTCATCGTTAAATAAATTATTGAAAATATAAACAGCGGTGTAAAAGTTATGTACTGTGTTAAATGTTGAAGCTTCACCTATTTTAGATTTTAGGATTCTTTTAGTAAGTAAATTGTTATCGTTCTTTCTCTTTTCCTTATCGTTCATGTCGAATCTGTCGAACCACATATCCTGTATTTCATCGAATTTACGAACTATAGAATCCGTCATTTCCCTGGTTAATGAGGGGTAATCATTATTAATTTTTTCATATAATTTGTCCATATGATTTTCATCGACGTTTCCGGAAAGCATTTAATTAAAGCAAAAATATATTTTAGGTGAAGAGGTGAGATCTCACCTGTTTTTTCACCTCTTTTTTCACCCCAGTTTTTTCACAAGCGTTTTACATGAATTGTACGATGTATATTTGAAATCCTAAACAATTTCGTAGCTTCTATTTCTTCTGTCAGTATGTCAAAAGTTTTAACAATACCGAAGGTTTCTTTATACTTCTTCTTGACGTCAGATAGAAGGAAATCTTCTGCTGTTGGATAGTTTTTGTTCAGAAATTCTAACATGTTCATTTTATCTTCTGCTGGCTTTTCTGCTTCTTTCTTTAAGTCTGCATAGTCGTTTCTCATTCTTTCTATCTCTTTGACTGAGTAGTTATATTTCCTAATTGCTGCCTTACATTTTGAACATTGCGGGTTCATTTTTGCGTTATACATTGAAATAAAACCAGCTAAAACAACTAAGGCGTCAATTGCTCTCTTCATCTCAAACATAGCGGGTCTTATTTGTTTGTTCCATACTTTGCCTCTTCTATCTTTATCTCTTATTTCCCAAACACATTTTGCAACTAATGAAACAAAGTTATCGTAGGTCTTAAACTCCTCAGATTTATATATGTCAGAAATGTTTTTATATACCATGTCGCAATCTTTGTCCATAACCTTATGGTTGCAATGAAAACCAAGGAATTCATAATTTACTTTACGTATGAACTTCTTTATTTCTACTGAGTCAGTTGCTTTGACTTCTATTTCGTCGAATTCAGGAATAGTGAGTTTTTGTTGTTGGATTTCAGGCAATTTGGGTAAATGGTCAATAATGTCCTGCATTTCATAAAGATATTCTTCATTTTCTTCATCTTTCGCACTACAGTCTAAATTACTTGTTAAAAGTTCTTGCTTTATCTTCTGGATTTTTGTTTCGAAAGTATATGAAGAAGGAATGAAGTTTTTCATCTCTACTAACATTGACGTAGGATTCATGACTAACGAGTTTGGTGCTGTTGTTGTGGACAGAGTCCCGCCGTTCGCGGCTTGAATTGTTGTTGTGCCGATTGTTGAAATCATATCTTTTACAAAATAAAAAAATAAAAAAATAAAACTAACTTTATTTTTTCTATCTTAAGGAAATTCATGAAAATTCACGAGACCCAAAGGGTCTGAGCCGCTAAGCGGTGAGGGTGAAAAAACAGGTGAGATCTCACCTCTTCACCTAAATTATATTTTTTGGTGAATTCAATAAAAATAAATGGTTCATTTACTCACAATATTTTTTTACAAAACGACCCCAAACTTTTAACTTCTTTTCAGCTTCAAATGCTATCTTAGCGAGTTCATATTCTCTAAATTCTCTCTTTAAATCTTCTGTTCCCATTGGTCTAGTTCGTATGGAGAATCTCTATAACCATAATATATCTCACGTTCATGTTCTAATTGTTTTTCAACTACATTTTTCCAACTTTTCTTCGAACAAAGGTTTAGCATTCTCCACTGTATCTTCGAGTTTCTTCTTCATCTAACTTCTCATGAACTTTCCTTGTCTATGGAGTCCATAATATCTTTGACATATAAATGCATACTTTACAGAGCACCATTCAGCAACAAAATGAACGAGGTCAGCATGTATGTAAATACCTTTGAATTCATTCATAACGCCCTTAGTAAGCTCATAAAATGCTTGTTTTGAGGTTGAGCCACTTTTGGCTCGACCGTATTCTTTCAACCAAAACTCAAGAATTTCCTGCATTTTAGCACTATTGAGAAATCTGTTTAAATGGTTTAACTTTCTGCTTCTCTCTTGCCATCTTTGTTGCATTAATGTAACCATCCTTGTCTCTACGTAAGACTTCAATACCGTTATAAGTGCCTTTTGTGAATGTTTCACCATTAGATTTGTTCGTGAATGTTTTTGCTTCGACTGACATTATTGTCTTTACATACAAAATAAAAAATAAAAATAATTTTAAAACTAACTTTATTTTTTCTATCTTAAGGAAATTCATGAAAATTCACGAGACCCAAAGGGTCTGAGCCGCTAAGCGGTGAGGGTGAGAAAACAGGTGAAAAAACAGGTGAGATCTCACCTCTTCACCTAAATTATATTTTTGGTGTAAATTTATGACAAAAATAAATGGTACCATTAATGATATCATGACTGTTCTCATTCATGTCTGATTTACATCTAATGAAAAAGTTTAGAAGAATTTTCTTATTCTTTCTGGCATATTTTTGTCTTTCCAGTACTCCCGCTCTAATGGTCCCAGATGTGTTGGCTTCGACTCTCTCAAGTTCTTAGATGGTATAACATCTTCAACGCCTCCTTCATATCTTACTTTATAAGTGTCATCGTTTGTGTTATAGCCAAGTATTTCAATAACCACTCCTCGCTTTGCTTCGTCAATGGTTTCAGCAAGTTTGCCATTACTACTTTCGACTAATTTATGTCGAGGATAAAACGCAATAGAGTCGTCGGCAGCTTTTATAAGATATCCATTACCTTGCGTAGAGTCTACAATATAATAATTTCGACTTAACCTTAAGCGTTTCTTTGTCAACGGTTTGTCGTCAAGAACTACACGAACTTTTGTACCAGGAATGAGGGTAAATTGTGTTGAATTTCTGATATTTTGTGTTTGGCTTCGTTTCTTTTGTATATACTTTTCTTCTTGTTGTTGTGTCATTGAATTTGGTGTATGTCCTGTTGTAGAATGTGTTGAGGAATTATAATACTTCGAGAAAATGTTTCATTGTTTCTTCGGTAAAGTCTCGCTCTTGTTTAAATCTCTGAGAGTCCTTATGAAGCGGTTTATGATGCCGAGTATGTTATGGTTATGGTCTTCAGTAGTGTAGTGAGTTATGTTATGCTTAATGAGAAATTCTGTGATTTCATTGCTGAGGTATGCACTGTCTTGGTCTGATGTTAAAGTACTTGGGTTATGTTCTGCTACAAAAGTAAAACTCTTAACACTTCACGAGTTCCTTTATTTTTCATTGGATATGCATATGCTTTACGAGTGTTAACATTTATGAAGATGAGGAATGGTTTATGTCCTCCTTTTCTGCTTTGAATGAGAGTGTCAAATTGGTATGCGTCAGGAGCGTTGGAGTAAATTGGTAAAAAGTAGTCGTAAGGGTTTATTTTTGTTTGATGTACAACATTTTTGTCAAGAACCTTTTCACTTCAAGCTCTGTTAGTAAATCCCGCTCTTTGCAGCTTCATTGAACTTCTTAAATGACCTCCATGGATGTTGTTCGAATACTTCTTTCAAGCTCATTTATGTAAAGTTAAAGAGTTTAACCAACTCGTATCCAAGCGTGCATTGTTATATAAGGAGGCATATAATCTTTTCCATTACCTGCTGGGTCTGTAATACCAGCTACAACATGTGTATGATTTCCTGCGGTTCCACAGAAATACCTGTGGCTTGAATCTACTGGTCAGTTGAAATATTATCTACATTCCCTGTCTATCCGAACCCGCTGCAAGATTTGTATAACCTCTTTTTGTTATTGAATGTGAATGGTTTCCTTCCACAGATGTTCTTCCACTGAACCTATGCATATGTGAAGGAAGGTTTTCATACCTATTTTCTTTGAACCTCCCATCTTCATTGACTGCGTATTAGTGTAGAATGGAAAACTGTCAACTATTTCATACCATCTACCACCAAATAAAGTGTTTGGATTTATTGGATTCATAGACGTATAAACAGCTCCTATAGGATATATTAAATCATATATGCTCATAACTCTATAAACATATCTAAAGAACTTATGTCATTAAATACCATTTGAATGTATCTCCCGGATGAAATGTTGCATTTGTTCCACTTTTATAATGTAATGTTAGTTCAATAGAATTATCCAAGAAAAATTCAAAAGTATCTGGTTGAAGACCTCTAACAAATTCAAATGGAGTTGCTGGTTCACCATTTATAATTTCTGTTGTAAATGTCATTGTATCTGGTTTCGAAAATTTCTTTGTTAGTTCTGCATCCACATAAGTTTTATCTGCTTTCTTATCTAACATTGTTGGTAGTTCATGTGCTTCAAAGTTTCTGGCATGACTTTCAATGTTCCTGCAACTCTTATCTAAACTGTTAAGAGTATCTTTTACGCTTGTACTTGGATTTTCTAATGTGCACTTGAACCAAGGTCAAGTTCAATATTATGTCGTCTGCTCTAACAGTAGTGAAGGATTTATGTGTATGGTTCTTGTCAGCTTTACTGTCTAATGTAGCTTGAAGTTCATTTATATCGGAGATGTTGTGTTTATGAGATTTCAAAACTTTGTTCGTTGCTTCGAGTTCAACTTTGTCAGCTTTACGTTTAAATAGCATCTTCAAACGTTATTTTTGCCTTAACTCTCAAAGTAAATCTTGGTTCAACTAATACCCGTTAACATTGAAAGTAGAGGCATAAATTTCACCGGTATAACCAAATGCTTCTGGTGCTTTAGCTACATCATACTGTAAGCAGTACAGCTTATGTCATAACCTTTAGCACGAATGTATTTATATCTTTTCATTAACATTTTTTGTCTTCGCTTCATCACTTCGTGTTAAATATCCATGATAGTCCGTTATAATCTGTTCATCTGAACTTATATAATGAACATGGTTCTTGTCCGCTTTACTATTTAATGTAGCTTGAAGTTCATTTATATCGGAGATGTTGTGTTTATGAGATTTCAAAACTTTGTTCATTGCGTCAAGTTCATTTTTGTCCGCTTTACTATTTAATGTAGCTTGAAGTTCATTTATATCGGAGATATTGTGTTTATGTTCTTTATCTGCTTTTCGGTAATTTCTCTTCTATCTCATTTATTTCAAGTTCATGCCTACCACCACCTCCCGAAGAAGTATTTTTCTTCAGCTCTTGAAGAACGTCCACTTCGCCATCTTTAGTGTCAATAATGAGACTTTGTGTTAAAACCTTTCCTGTCTTAATGGATGTTTGTAAAACTTCTTCTTCACCGTGTTCGGGGTCATGGTCGTCATCATATCTTGTGAAATCAGAGATGTTGTCATACATTAAGCATATCTGTCTCAAAAAGTTCTGCTATTTGAAACTGGAACGAAAGATATACAGAACTTTCATCATCTCCTAAAGTCAAGTCTGCTTTCTTAAGTATTTCTTGAATGTATGCAATGAGAACAGAGTACCTTGAAAATATTCGAACAATATTTCATTAGCTGTTGGTTTTGGTGGTTCTTCTGGAGTTTCTGTTGTTTTCAGTTCCTTCTGTAGGTTTGTTGGAGTTTCTGCATCTCTTGACTTCAATGCTCTTGCTCTCAAAGACCTAAATGTTAGAGCACCAGGTTTTACAAAGGACTTTATAAATGCTTTAATAGTTCCTGGTAAGTTATTGTTAGCATTAAGTAAGTTCCTTATGCTTCCATCATGTACATCCATAGCACTATGTAAAAAATCTATACTTTTCTTGTAGTCAGCAATAGACTGACTGTGATTTTTTAAAGATTTGTCAATACCTTTAAGCCAATCTTCATGCATGTCTGATACTGAGCCAAGAATATCATTTGCTTCCTTTAGTGTATTTTGTGCTTCTCGTAAAGTATCCAATCCCGTACGTGCATTGTTTGCTATACGTCTTACAGTATCTATTTGACTCCTTGTTTCTTGCATCCAACCAGATAAAGTTTTAATAGTATCCGAACCATTTGAAATGAAGTTCAAAGCATTTTTAACGTCATTTAAAACTTCTTCACCAAGTACCGCCCATATCTTTCCGATTTGGTATTGAAGAACTCCATATGAAGCAGCTGTTAAACCAGTATTTATAAGGTCCCATATCCATGATTTAGCAGTTTTTCCATCCTTTCCATCCTTTCCATCCAAACCGTTTTCGCCTTGAGGTCCTTGTATTCCTTGTATTCCTTGAGGTCCTTGAGGTCCGGTGTCACCCTTCTCTCCTTTCAGTTCATCTTTATGTTCGTTATAATATTCTAATGTCATAAGGTGTACATCATTACTGCTACCAGCAACGCCGAGAATTTGTTTCTCATTCATGACTAAATTCTTTAGGCATTTAATGTTGTCGTCAAATCGAAAGCTCTTTAACAATTCAATGAGAACATTTAATACTTTCACTAATGAGGCATCTACTGTAGAATTTATATATTGCACCGTTCCATCATTTATAATAGGAACTTTGCTTGTTGTAATGAATGGGTCATAAGTGTTAAAAGTATCGAAATCAATGACTTTTTTAGTTTTTCCATCGTCAATGACTAAATCATTGCCTTCAATGGTTAAAGTTGAGTTTTCGTTTACTAGTTCATGTGCTCTTCTTGCTTCATTTGTTTCATACGCATATGCAGCAATAGTCATATTTTAATGAGAATAAAATGTTGTTCTATTTGCAAAGTACAGACCCAAACGAATATGGAACAGTAAAGCTTCAAACAAACTTAGGTCTACAGAATGAAGCACTTGCTTTCAGAGTTGTTGACTTCAATACTATCGCAACTTTTGTCATAACAGATGAAACAGATTTCATGAAGTTTGAAATAGATGGAAAGAAGCACGAAATAAGATTTCACAATAATGTAGAATATAAGATGGAAACATTAGCTGGAGTGTTAAATGCTCTCATAAATACTACAATAAACAAGGATAACGAAGAAAACTTAATGAATGTTAAACTTATTGCAGGAGTTTTGAAGTTCAGTTATGCAAAGGAGTTTAAGATAACACGAATGAGTCATAGAGTTCAATTGCTTCTGGGAGCATACCATATATGACATTTCCTTTGAAAAGTGTTGACAAAACGATTGAGATGAAATCTGTTCCATACGTATGTTATGGTAATTGTTTATACATTGAGTCAAAAATAGCTAATGTCACAGGTATTTCAGGAGTTAATAGTAAAGGTTCAGTAGAATATAAATCTTTCTGTTATGCAGTCAATTCAATGTTCATTCCAAACGTTCCTGTCATAGCAACTCATTTAGGTAAATGGGTTCGCATTAGTCCTCATAATTTGAAAGACATGCAATTCAGACTTGTTGACTTTCAAGGCGAGCCTGTAGAACTGAAGGCACCAGTGCGAATGACTGTTGAAGTTGACTTTTTAGAAAATATTAAATGCAACAGCTTACAAGAGAACTCAGAGCTAAAAATATAAAGTATGAATGTTATGTATTAGGTCATGAACTTTGGTTATTGCTGTTTGATGAAACAAATGAGTTAGTTATGTCAGTCAAGAGAACAGAAAAAGGCGTCAAAGGCGCCGAGCGCAAAGCGCTATATTGTGTTAGTGAAAACTGCACCAAGTCAATAAGATTAGGTTTGCATTATGAAGATGAGTTCGATACTGTTGAAGAAGTTTTGGACAGATATTACAAATTGCTTTAATTTACTAAAACATATTTCAAGCAAAGTTTATATTCTGTTGAAAGTTTTGTATACTCGTTCGAATATTTATACTTAAACTCAACTCCTGTAGTTCCTGGTGTTTCAATGATGCGGATGTTACCTATTTTCATGAATGGTGGCGTTTGACCACAGCATTCGATTTCAGGGTCGAGATAGTCAATGACACATTGCTTTCCTGTTATTCGTGAGATAACATTTTCAAGGTCCTCCTTTGTTAGAATTATTTGGTTCTTGCTTATAAGATTTGTCAAAAGCTTCTTATCGTCTTTGAGTAAAATTGTTTGGTATAACTGAAGAAGGTAATGGTCTACGTTATCTGAAGGATTTGTTTGAACATTTATGTAAGGATTGTCGTTGGCTTCTCTTGAAAGAATTTGGTCCAGTGGTGGATACTCTAACTTAACATCTGATGTAGCGTTAGCGTTTGAAGCTGAGTTTAAATTCACGGATTTCAGTTCTGGTTCTGGTTCTTTCAAACACTCCGAACTATAGTTCTTTATGACAATATTGTTTGTCGTTCGTGAGTCAACATTTGATGTTGGTTCAATTGGAACATTAACGGCACCAGCTAAGATGGATTTGCTTCTCATTTCATATAGAATAAAAACCTTTTATATGTATGAAATGAACAATACACTCGACAAGGGTTTGAATGTAAAGCTAACGAATGAAAATATTGTTGAATTCACTGAGACAGGAGCTGTGTATAAAGATGTAGAACTACTGAACAAAAGAGCTAAGGGAAGAAGCAGGAACATGAACAAAGGGTGGAAGCCTATAAAAATTTATGTCAATGATGGCTCAGGAGGTTCAAACATAAAGTATGCAGAAAGTTATAGAGTTTATGCTCTCAAAGGTGAAAAGCCTTCATTTAAGAACAGCTATTCTAACACATATCCTCAAAAGTTAACAGATGGAGAAGTGGATGATATGAATGACAGCAAAAATATTAACAGAAATGGCGACAGAGATGCATGGAATTTGTTTACCATCAGTCAATTGAAGGTTAAACTTTAAAACAATGTTGGTCGTTCCCATGGAATATTTTTGACTTTAATGGTATTAGTCATGATATGAATCTCAAGGTATGAACGAGGAGAGATGAGAGACTTATATGCTTCCCAAATTTCTTCAAAAGGTAATGTTATACCTGACTGTTTCCAAATGAGTTCAATATCATAACGTGAGAAACCTTGAAAGATAACGAAGTCAGTTATGAGACGTTTTATGTTTAAAGCTAAAAACCTCCATGTTTGCATAAGTATTGCTACAGTTAAATGGTAATGTCTGACTTTAGTAATGATATTAGCTAATGGTGAGTCTGGTTTTGACACTAAACCTTTTCCGGCGAAGTCGTCGCAAACTAACAAAGTATTTGAAGGATATTTTTTGAAGGGGTATTTTGAAAGTTTTGATAGAATGTAGTTTGTAAGTCGTTTCATATCGTAAACTCCTGAGTATTGACGTAAGTGGTGTTTGTCAATAATTCTTTCCATCTCCTCAGAAGTCTTTTGCATTCCTGACTGTATAAATTCAACGATGGCATAATATTTTCTCTTACGTCGAATGTAACGTTGAAGAAATTCAATGAGTTCACTGTCTGGAACTTTAACGACAGAGGCTTGAACTTTTGACATAAATGTTTTCGCTGTTGAATCCATAGAGTCTGAAGTTGCTGATATAATGATTTGGTCATAGTAAGAGTCGTTTCCTAAACGCTCTGTTATGAGTATATGACGAATTAAATTAAATGTCTTACCTGAACCCATCTTTCCACAATAGAAATACACACCATTTGAACAGAACTCATAATCTTTACTGAAAGGAAGAATAAGAGAAGAGTTAAGTTTGTCTGTAGTTTCATTCATGTCTTCATCTACGTCATGTATTAAATGCTTCATTTTATCTCCATTAAAAATGCAAGTCAGAAATATTCAGAACATAGCACCGAGTCTAACTGACAAGAGTATAAAGATATACTATGAACACGTTATGATGAAACCAACCAAAATTCAAGAAAGTCAGTATACTTATGAATATCCAAGGCACTGGGTAGAGTATGTAGGAGGTGAGAAAGCTATTGAAATCAGACAGGTTCGAAGTATTCCAGCAGGAAGAACAATATTATTGAAGAACTTTAATGTTTTGAGATATAATGATGAAACAAAGAAGCAAGATAGTTTTCCTGTTGCTGTGTATGTGAACCTAGACACAGGAGATGACATGAAAGTTTTTAACACAAAGCTTCAAATGGTAGTGAGAGAACAACTGACTGTGGAAGGACATCCATTACCTTCAGAAGTTACCATAGTATATAATTTTGAAACAAACTCAATAGATTTTAAAGTCATCTCTGCAAAGAAGTCAGGTTTTACATTTAATGAAGCAGATGTATATTCGAATGAAAACTTCAAAGCTATTGCATGGTTAGATAATGACGATTGCTTTAAGAAAATATTTAAATTCAGTGACTCAAAGATGTCAATAGATGACCTTCGTGGAATGTTACCATCGACGTTTACAGTTGAAGGCTCAGCAGGATTGCTTACAAGATTGTCAATTGGTGGTATTTGGTCTCGTGAGAACATTGTTATAAAATCCAGTATAAGTGAATTTGCTGAAGAATCTATATTATGTCTTTCAAACTACATGTATTCGCCACCGAAGCATTATAGTATAACAAACTTTGTCAGTAAGTTTAACATAAGACTTGTCGAACCTTCTTCAATGAAAGATGTTGTGCTACCTAAAGATGGAAAGGATGGACTCATTATTGAGATGATTTTAATAGCATATTAAATGAGCTTGTTCTTGAAGGTCATTCATGATGAAATAACTGTTGTAGAAGATGTTAGCAATTGTTCAGACATTTTGAAGCGTATAGATGATATAAGAAATAAGTTAGATAGACCGCAAAGCGGTGAGGGCGAAGCCCGTGAGAACGCTTATGTTTCATTGACTTTCTCCAGTAACGAGAACTTTTATGAGATAATATTGAAGAGAGATGATTTTAATATGGTGTAAATGGTAGCTTGGGCAGTTTTAGGCGCAATGGGAACAAAAGCATTAGCATTTGGAGCAAAAGCACTTGGAGCTTATGACGCAGTAAATAAAATGAGTGGAGGAAGGGTTTCGAAGACATTAGATGCAAATAAAGGGAAGATTGGAGGCTGGGTTGCAAAGAAGTTAAGATTAAATAAAATAGGGCTCATAAATAAAGCATCCAATTTGGTTGCGACTGAGTCAGAAAATGCTTTAGGAAAGGACGACGAGTTTGCAAAACACGCAAAAGACTTTAATGACCAGATGAAAGGTGAAACAATGCATTTAAATAGAGTCGATGGAACTCTTCCTCCACCAGTAGTTCTTCCGTATGGTCCCTATGGAATGTATGGAAACCCTTATGAACGACCATTTGACCCATTGACTGGTGGAAGTAACTGGTATCATTACGGACGAAGAAGAAAGACAGTCAAGTTGGAGACAGACGTGAAGAAAGCAACTAAAAAAAAATATAAAACCAAAAATAATTGTTATAATTTAAATGAAGAAGTAATTTAAAACGATTTTATTTATGATCAAATTTTATATATTTTTTTGGATCAAATCCATTTTAATAGAATTTATATACTATTCATCTATTAGTAAACACTACCGTATATTATTTTTTAAGCTATCTTATTTTTTGAACTTTTATTCAAATCTTTGGTCGCAAGAAGAATTGCATGATAAATAAAAACATTTAATCAAAGTCAATTTTATTTTTCATATTCAAATGGACTGAGTGTTAACATTTAACATTTTTTGCTAATTGTCGTCAAAAATTAGGCGTAAAGCAAAAATTGATATTTCATATGGTTTTATGATAGATAAGCATTATATTCCCACTCATTATATTCGTAAATTTTGAGGTTTATCCTTCGCTTTTAAGATCATTGATTTTGATTTTTATATAAAATAGTTATATATTAGAAAATAATATGAGTTTATGTGATATTATTTTTCAGAAGATTTTGTGTTCTTCTTCAAAATTTTATTTTTTTATTAAAAAGAATCTTTACAAAATATACATTTACTTTAATTAATATTTAAAAACGTGCTCTATCAAAAGTTCCAAAAATTCAATATTTTAGCTTTTCTGAGGTGTCACTTTTGATGAATTTCTGTTTATAACATCACTAATATGCTATAAAATGTCGTGGGCTTTTTTGATAATAAATAGTTTTACCGGTCAAAGTTGAAATTTGTCAAAATACCGAATTCTCAGATAAGATGAACTATAATGGTAATACTCAGTTTAAATATACTATACTATAGTGTATTACATAATGATATTATATACTTAAATAAAAGTATCAAAAACTCATATTGGTGGAGATATTAAAACTTTTAAAATTGAGAGGGTGGGACCGGAGCCTTAATAGGGGGCTCCAATCCAAGGTCAACAAGTGATGGCCAGGTTAAAACTGATGGAAGCGGGGGAAAACAGAACGAAGGTGGCAAGATGGGTCCTTCTTCAAAGGGCGGATGGTGGAATACAGCCACCTCAAGCTATGGAAAATTTGAAAAGGGAGGTGATGCATTAGGCGATAATCTTTGTGCTGGACTGGTGGTGGAGGTTGGTATGGAGGTGGATCAGGCAATTATCTTAATGGAGCTGGTGGTGGAGGTTCTGGATTTATTTTAACTCTTGATTCTTTTTCTTACGTTCCACCTGGATGTCTCCTTGATCAAAATTACTTCATGACA